TTATCGGACTGATATGATATCGTTATATATTGTTTGAATGTCTTGTGCTTTTGACAGAAATCGATTGCTTCTGCGAGTAAAACTTATAAAATAACATCTTGAGACAAATTCATTTCTGTTACCAAATTTTTTTTTCCAGTCATCATAGTTATACATTCCACGTATGCCAACTATTTCAATTTATCGTCGACTAAAATACCGCCCGACACTCGACCAGGCGTGTATCGCACTTGGGCGACAGGAACGGTTTTATCAGCGACTCGAAATCCAAGATATATGTATTTTATTGGGAGCGCAAAATAAATGTAACAAAACGCATTGTTCTGCGTTATAACTTCGTATTTTCAGAAACGGGGTGTAGTGAAAATTAAAATTTTATCAAAATTAATCGCAAATAATGTTTTATCGTCCAACGTCGGTTACTCAGCATTTTCCGCGAGAACTGGAAAAGTCATTTAATTTAAAATAAAGAGTGTTTCACTATTACAAAAAATTAGGATTGTTGCAATTGGAAAATTGCCTGTAAGATGGCAGTCGGTACCCATAATAAAATGGTGCAATAACGCCGCCTTCGCTTCCTGGTTATTCAAGCTGAGATTACGGTGTTTGATGTTTGCCGCAAACGCTTTTGAGGGCTCTTTGGGAGAAAACACAAGTGTAATCACACGAGACCGGTAACGCTCGTCGTGGAAGATACCACGACCCTACACTTTATCCTAATGCCTCAGTATATATTTTCATTTATTTCAACCAACAAAACCCTTCCAAATACGCAAATAAATTCAAACGAAAATCCTCTTCCGTGAGCTTGAAAATATAGCAAACTGATGACGTAGAAACGCATCACTCATACGTAGCGAACCGGTCGTGAGCGAACTATATTCAGTAGAATATGCTATTACAACAGCGCACTGCAGTTACTGCGTTTCCGAAACTACCAGTTTGTTTTGAGTGCTGCGCAGCTCGCCGTTATCCTCGAGCGCCTCAAGTGAGCGGTTTGCTGTGGCTAATACTTAAAAAATATGTTCACTTAAATCATAAGTCTTACTCCGTTTAAAGATTGTGGAGATGAACAATCGCTTGTTCGAACAAGCATTTCCTTCCGCGAAAGGTAGTGTTCTCGCATTTTTAATTTTCAAAATAGAAACGAAAAATGGTGATAAAACTGGAAATTTCCTAACGATCGGCGCGTTTTTTCTCTGGTGCCATAGAAACGAAACACCAATCCTGAGGTGACAGCATAAACCAGGTAAGAAATTTCAACCAGGCCAGCTTAGCCGTTTAGGCGCTACAGCTAAACACACAGACAGGCTGGTCCAAGCTTATAAAGTCAAGAGCAGTGGGGAATACCTCATTAGGCGATCCGATAGCTCTTTAATATAATTTTATATTCTCAAAAAGCGATGTTGTTTGGTTAACTTGCAAAAACTTATCCACCGTCACCAACAATAACAGTAGTGCCAAAGTAAAATCTCCGATTTTCTTGACTGTAGTTAACTAGTTTTGGTCCGCGGCGGATTCGGTAAAACTGTTTTTTATCTTTTGGGATTAGTGCGGTTTATTTTCCTTACTGGAATATTGGTTGGTCGCGGATGAAGTTTTCTTTCAAGGAACACATACACGTCTGAGAAGTTCGAAACAAAATAGTGATTTTGTATGAATTCGTCAGTTTACAAACCAAACCATTTTAAATTCAACATAAAAATATCGCAATGGCAAGGCATTGGAGAATATTTCCAGAAGTTGAATTAAATATTATAGTTTAATATTATTAGGTTGTTCCACGTGAATATGGTTGAATTAACCCAAAATGGGGCGCTCCAGAAGTGTGTGTACCAATATTGAGGGAACTAACTTTGTTCGCCTATTTTACATCAAGTTGTGTAAAGGTACTGAAACATATGGGAAGGGGTGGGCACTTGGCTAACACAGACAGTCCCCGAACTTGCAATTATGGCCTAACCCTAACCTGGCACACATACTACTGGCGTACCCAAAGCATCGAACTTGTTAGAAAAATATTCAACGGGTTCAAAATGATCTGCTAGTTAAGCGGTTGCAAGGTGCAAAGTTCAATATTCAGAGAGTGTATTTTGTTGATTTATAAGTAATAAACAGGGCTAATTACGTGATGGTGTCTTGTACGACTTTATTTGTGCACGTTATCAGTTTGTCATTTGCAAACAAGATATCGTTTCTTGCATAAGGTTGTTTGACTTATTTGTTGGTGACATGTATATCAATACAGAACGTTGCAGAAATTGTTTACTGATTAATATATTAAACTCGCGTATGCCAGTAAAATATAATGTTAAACACTTGACTGGCGTTAAGACATCACAGAAGTCAACGAGAACTTTAACCGTGTCGAACGCACGAAGTCAGGAAATTAAATCCGTTACCAAAGAGCAGTGGATAGGGCGGGTGTACGTAACAGAACTCATACATACCTCGCCGCAGTGAGAAGGTCTGAGTTAGAAACAAAGTGCCTCATAAGGGAATCGTGTGAATATTTCTACGCAAGTGTGTGGCGCTTTTCAGTGCAAAAGTCATTAACAAAAAAAACTGCTTGTAAGTTACCGACAAAAAGGGATCTTTTGTACAAAGCCCCACCAACACTAAAACATTAAAATTACCAATTATCCAGTTAGGGCTTGGAATACAAATTGCGCTAGGAATTCAAATTTCCAAATCCTTTCTAACCCTAACTTAGGGTTAATGTAGCTAAGAGGTTTAATCTATTTTAAGTGAAATGCATTTCTAACAAAATTTTACATTGGGATATTATTAGTTTGATTGGCATTCAATGCAAGATATTTTCCATAAAATTCATTTTGTGAAGTTTCAAATCCAGATCATCTCAATCTTGCCTTCGAAGTACCACAGTGATAACTGCGATTATAAATACAGGGTGGTCGTTAGAAAAACAGAAAATTTGTCAAACATTTATTTTTACAAAGAATAACTACGACAAAAGCTTTTTATGTTGCATCACACTCATATTACTCAAAATGTCGTCCATGCACCTCAGAGTAGTGTCTTAAACTAGAAGTCTAAGAAATGACGCATTTTAGAAAGAAAGCACGCATTTTATTCGTGGTCTCATCTGACCATTATTAATTAAATTTTTTGCTTTTATAGCGACCACCCTGTATATGTGAACAAAATTGCTTAAAACGCATAGGCATTTGAAATATTTAGACATATATATTTACATATTGTTTCTTTGTACTCATTAACCGAGAGGATGATGGACTTTTCTTCTTTTGCATCTGTATTTCACGACGCTCTTGATGAGTCGAACCTGAAACCATGGTGGGACAAGATCCGTTGGTACTGCATCGCAGCTAATATCGCTATAGCTTTGGTGGTTTTAAAAAATGTGTTTCCCAGGCCGAAGCTGTACTGTTTGCCTTTGCACAACGAGTTTGACGAAACATTGGAACCCATCGAATTCACCGAAGAACAATCCGAATATGTTAATAGTTCCTGCACTGGGGCTATGCGCCTAGCTACAGGTTGGTGCCTTCTGGGAATGTTTGTAATGCTAAATCCAGCATTTCAAATAGTCCAGATGCTCCAATGCTTTCGTCATCCTGAAATGCGCAAGACGTGTCGCGCGTTTACGAAAGCAGAAAAAATTATCAGAAGTTTACATTTGCCAATGGACAAAGTTATTCAACTTTTAGACAGCGACCTACGTTCTAGCAATCAAACGGAGGATGATTCACATCAACAGGATGAACGTAACAAATTTGACTTGAAGCAGATAAAAGATGCACAGCAAATACTGAAGACCGGCTATTCCCCCGACATATGTAAAATATACTGTATAACAAACTGGCAAATAGTAGTGTACGCTTATTCACTTGTAGTTTCTTTCACTTTCATTTTTTTGTGGGTTTTAGTAAGAGATAACGAAGTATTACTTTGCACGCGGATATACCCGACTTCCAACAACCAGAATATTTTGTGGTGCTCGTATGACTTTGGACAATTTTCAATGGTTCAATTGTTCGTTATCCATCTCAGTTTGACTATTCTGCATATTGTCTGCGTTGGCATCGGAGCTTGGAAAATTAGATCTAAAAATGACACTCGCTCTGCAATATTGGTAACGCTACTGGAAAATTCCCGTCCTAGCAGTGCGCAAAATTCTTCTGATTTGATTTCGTATGTCTTAGAAGAGCAATCAAGTATTGGAGATGATTTTTCTCAGCCCTAATTTTTTTGGAGTCAGATATTACGAAGAAACTGTTTTTTTTTTAATTCATGCATTCATATTAGATATTTGTTTCACAATTGTTGCTGCATTATTTCTACGGCTGGGCATTTCGAATCAAATAGTAAATCATTCGAATCGGCTTAGAGCAAAATTTCAAATCGCCGTCATCTTGTTTTTTTTCTTTCCCATTTTTTGGTGCTCCCCCCTCATTTATTTTCATTTTTTCAACGCAGTTCTGACATATGACTCTTTTCTGTAGTGCTTTTTTGATTAAAACGTGTTTTCTAGAGTGTGTGAACGCTCAGCAATTTGTCTGGGTGATGTATTCAGTGTTTTCAGTAATTTAAGTGTCTAGAGGACTAAATACAGTCAGAATGTGACATACAATTTTGTATTTCCCAAGTATTCGAGATTCGACTCGAAAAAAATATTCGATTCAATTCTGAAATGCCAAGCCCTAATTATTTCTCGCAATATCGAAGTATTGATGATGGTTCCTTTGCGTTCTGCATATTTGACGCAATCATTTTTATTGAACGTAGGACATGTATGTATAAGAACTCTAAAAATACTACGCGACGATTTTTTTTTTAATTATTTATCGCGTTTGAATTATATTAAGAGAAGTCTGATTTTGTTCACGCAAAACGGTACTGAAATATATTCAAGTCACTGTGCAATGAAAATTCCGAAACACTTAGTATTGTATTTTACGTCTATAAATTGATGGTTAAACTGCTTTAATTATGCTTATATCTAGATATTAGCTTTAATCATGCCAGTCAGCAGAAAAGAGAATGGAGTTCATAGTAAAATACCAAGAATCGAAAATCTGCGACCCTCGAAAGAGACTTTGATCCATTTTTGTTTGATCTTGGACACATTACTTGTATTTATAATACTTCTAATGATATTTCCAAAACCGGAGATGCACTGTTTACCGTTTTATTGGGCGCCTAATGGAGCTGGGGACTGGGTCAAATTTGACGTACTCAATTCTACTTTTAATTCTGCATTTACAAAACCCCAAGCTGAATTCATCAACAACCTGTGCAACGGGCGACATCCTACCAATTACTTACAAATTTATGGAATACTCGCCGTCGTTATAGGAACTTTTATGTGGATTTGTTTTGAAGGCTGGACTTACCATCCCAAAATCGTTGCTTCGCTAGTAACTTTTTGGGAAATAGATGATATTATTGGCAAACTAACTCTAAAACCTGAAGAACTAGAGAGAATGTTATCTCGGAGAACAGAAACTGTGGCCCCACAAAACATGGAAGAAAGAAAGGTGGATATGATATGCCATTTGTTTCAGAATTACAAAAGTCCTATTACTATAAAAAATTGGTATCTAGGTCGAATCATTTGCTTGCTCGTCACTACCGTATTACTTCTGGCTTCATCTGGTTACATGGCTTATTTCAATACCGAAATTTTCGAAAGAGTTGAATGCCCAACTTCTGAGATAAACTTGATACCTCGTGCCCTACTGTCGAAAAAAGTGACGATATATTGTAGCCCATCCACACTCTCCCAAATCAGGTTATGCAGCTACTTTTTGACCATAAGTCTGTTTATTCAATGTGGGATAATTTGTTCATTGCTTAAAACTTGTAATGCAAACCAGAAGCGTTTGTATTTCTATATCCTCCGCTTGCGTCGCGGACCGGAACAACAACAAATCCAAAAAATGTTTGTTTATTTCATGTATTTTATTTGGAAAAACTCTGTGTGCATGACTAACAAAAAAAATGCTCTGTTCAAGGTTTTTCTTGAGTTTGTCTTGATCTCTTCTTAAATTCACTTCAAGTTAATTTAGTCACCACCGAGTCAACAATTTCCACCGACAGTGAACAGAGTGAATTAATTTCGAATATTGATGTGTAAAACAATCTCAAATATGAATGTGCTGAATTATAAGTACTCAAGCAAAAGTTGAATGTAATATCTTAAATTCTGATTTTCGTTGTTTGTAATATTCATAAATCAACACTGTTATACACTTTAATTCTTCTTCATTATTGACTTCAAACTTTTTATTTGAACTGTATAAAGTACTGCGGTAACATATTCACTACATGCAATAATAACGACTAATCTTCACGAATTTGGAGATGATTTTACTATACCGGGGACAGTGGCGTAGCAAGACTCTCGTGCAAATCGACGACTTCCTGGCATTGTTACGTAACAAAACGATTTGAGCAGTACTAACATAAACGTTATAAGATGTGCATTACTTGTTTTGCACTGCAGCTTTTGGGTTGCTTCTTAAATTTCTAAATCCCTAACTGCTTTGCGCTGTGGGCCCTCCCGCGACCGCGGGGGTGGACCGGGGAGTAGCAGTAACTATCACCTCAGTAGTCGCAGTAAATGTCATTGCACTTTGAGTAAAATTATGTAGCCACCAATGTTGCGTGCAGCTAGTACTGTGCAATTTAGTTTTGAAATTAAAGGCTTTATTGCTTCACAGTAGTAGTATCATAGATAAAACTGTGGTTTTTCGAGCTTTTTGGCCATTGCGTCAACGTGACATACAGTAGGAACTTTACCTACGAAATTAATTCGTTCCCGAGGCCGGTTTGTAAGTAAAAAAATCCGTTAGTAGATACGCATCATACCTGTAAATGCCCTAATTCGTTTCCACCCCACATATAACTCGGACATAATATTTGTATAAATTGTAATTGTGTTAAAACCCGTAACAAAGAACGAATAAAAGTGCATAAATACGAACGATACCGTGGGTTCATGTACCTTTGTCTACCATCGTCATAATCAAATGAGTGGACCCGATCTACAAATTTCTACCCGCTGATGATGGAGAATTAGGACCGGAAAACTTTTCTTTTCTTCGAGTCGGCGCCGATTTAAATATTTCATGTCAGCTGTTATGCTTTTATTTTTGCTTATAAATTAATACCGCTAACTTAAACGGAACGATATTGTCATCAACGACGCGGGATCACGACAAAATCCGATAGATATACTATAAACAATATTTAAGAGCTATTTTACACCCTCTAAATTGTTAAAAATCAAAGATTTCCTTTTATGTTCGGTCATATCAAAACTGACGATGAAAGCATTTGATTACGACACAATTTGCTTCTAAATACATGGCCGAGGCCGCACAAACTAAATCGACTAAATTGAAATATAAGATAATAACTGTTAAATATTTTTAATCTAAAACATTCTCGATGTCTTGCAATCACTTTTGAAGTGATTCAAATCGGCGCCTATTGAAATCATTTTATGCCGGCTGTAATTTATCATCGCGCCTTGGATTGCGATGAAAAATGAAATAATTGTAAGATGCCACGCCATGTACGGTACTCTATGAACACACAAAAAAAGATGTTTTTAAATCAAAACGAGGACGACGCCATGTACGGTATTCTGATAAACAAAACAAAAAACATATTCGAAGGTCGCGATATTCGAATATAAAATTTGAATTAGACAACGCTGCATTAATCTAAAATAATCCAATATCACTACATGCCTTTTTTACATTAGTCGAGGCAATATTTTCTACGAGAAGAATTTTCGTAAGTTGGATTTTTCGTATCCAGAGCCTTTCTACTGTATATGCGTACACAGTATTATATTTCGATTAATTTGGGGGTTCGGTATTATATTTATCGATCGCGATGAGTCTTAGTCTAGAAAAATTAGTCCGCTTACAACTGTGCTCCGCGGTTAACGGATCTTCTGTAGAAAGCCCTCGCCACTAATGCAAACAGGTGCTCTCGAAGTATTTCTGCCAAGATGGCGCTGAGCTACGGCATTCGTTGCATTGTCAAGTATTCAATCACAGCTGTGGTTACAGTATACAGTACCTGCATTTCTATTCGTGATCATCCGTAAGCCGCATGAACATAATTTTGTATAACTGCCCATCTCTTTTTCTGAAAATATCCATGGTAAATTGGCTACCGAGTAGCTACGGCAGGGTTGCCAGACCCCAGCGATCAAAAAAAGCCAAATCAAGACATAAAAAACCCAGAAAAAACCAACAAATTTGCTAAGTACAAAAGCCCCATTATTCGTCAGATTTTAAGCCCTTGGCAACGTACTGATGATGATGTAGAGCCATCAGTTCATTCAGTGATGCACACAAACAGAAAGTAAAGTTCCTATAGAACTGTAGAAAGTAAAATAAATATCAAGCAGACAGCATTATTCTACCATTCAATATATACAATACAGGGTGCCGCTGCAGTCTGTCAGTATGTAATATACCTACATGTTTCTACTTAAACTTGTGATATACCTTAAAAATTCTCCCTATATCGTACTTTACTATTGAAAATTTTTTTACTCTTAAAATTTATAAACCATCAATTTTATTAAAAATTTATCGGGTCTCCTAAAGTATGCGCCGCAAGTACTTCTAGTTGGCCTGACTCAACAATTTTTGCATATCCTAATTTCTAACCCCCACATGACTACGTCTTCCAAAAATTACATCACTGCGAAGTCGCAATCATGTAATACGACGCTCCAAAGTATACGGATGGTTGCACAGACAATCATTCGAAGTCGAACAAGCTATTTATTGTCGTCAAAACGATACCGATAAGAGATGAATTGCTGCACAGATGCCATTTCGGACGATCGTAACTATACCTTATGACGCGATTGTGACGCGCCGCTCACAGGTGGACCACTGATATCTAATTCAGTAATTTTAGCGTATAGTTAATCACATCGTTACTGCAATTGCAGAATCGAACTAAAGCTCACATAAACCATATCAGGCATAATGAAAATCAAGATATATAACTATTTTTTGGAAACAGAACGTAAAACTGACAAATAACACGCAAAACTATAAAAACGAGGCAATCTTTACAACCCTGCTTGAACATCTGTCTGAGCGGCTGCAGAAACTGCAATTATTTCTTATTGGGTATGGTTGAGAGTTAATGTAACAAACAAGGAAATCGATACTCCAGGACCAATGTTAAGTAGCTAAGTACAGGTAATAGGCTATTGTTCAGTTGTTACACACTAAATATTGTATTCCATATGATTTTAATAATAGACACTAGAATAGACTTGAAAAAAGCCAAACGGAAATTCTGACGCCAAACGCGTTTGAAAAAAGCCAAAAATGGCAAATTTGGCGTTAAAAACGCCAATATGGCAACCCTGAGCTACAGTACCTACCCAAACTCGGAGATGACAGGAGAGTTTTTGAGCGTAATATCCAATTCTTACGTCATAATATATATTTTAATTGTTCTATGATTGGCTAAATAAGGACAATGTACATCAAATCTTCTGTGATTGGTCAGGTTTGGGAAACGTGTATAATCCCGGCGCAGTCCATGTGCGATGAAAATTCTAGCTTGATGTTTCTAAACCTGGAATAAACTTACCGCGATAGTAAAATATTTTTTATGTATAGGGGTAAATCGAATCTGGGTGAATAGGCTGTTGTTCACCTTATGTAAATGCGACTTTCTTCGTGATTTTTCTGAGTCAGTAAATAAGTGCAGAAAAATGCAAAATTCTTGTACATTATGTCATAGTTGTCTACTAATCACTATCGCCTTGGAATCATTGCTCTATTTGAGCAAACGTTAATCATTGAAAATTTTAAAGCAATTGATCCAGTAATTAAAGAGATAGGCAATTTTTTCAAAGTGATAGGAAAAAAGTTCTAACAACAGAATAACGAGATATCGACGGGAGACCGCCGACTTATCGATCTTCCGCAAAAACAAAATTAATTAATAACTCGCTAATTATAAAATTAAAAATTAACTCGCTAATTATACGACATAATTCATCCGAAAATCAATAGGTTCTGTTTCGAGATATGATGAATGCACATGCAAAATTTGGAGCAGATTCAACCTCGCTTTCGTGAGATATAGCGTGTATCTAACAGACAAACAAACAGACGAATACCTATCAACATACTTACTGATCAAGATCGATAAGTAATAACAAAACGATCCATATGTTCACTTCGTGTCAATAAAAACACGGCCAATTTATTAGCCATCTAAATCATCAACCAATATATTTGTAGATAATTCTTATCATCTGATCCCGAGTCCCCGTGTCACTGGTTGTATGAAAACAAATAAATTGATTCGGTCACGGGAAGGATTTTCCAAAGTATCGCAATGAAATTGCTAAAGTTGACCTTTTCACGCTTCATTGGAAGGTTCATGTGCAATGTAACACGTAGAGGGAAAGCGTGTAGAAGGCGAATGAGTTTGTGATGACAGATGCCCTGTTATCAACTTTGGACTTATTGTTTACAAGCTGGCTCACTGACTTTACTGTTCTGGAAAAAAGATCCCCTGTAGTGTGCCTATTTCTTGATAATAGGACTGCATAAACACAATAGTTAAATGGGTCTTGGTTAAAACGAAGTCCCTTTTCGTTGGTGTGGAAAATAGTCTATTCGAACATGGCAGACTCTCGGACTTGCACTATCGGTTCACCACAAATACTTATTCATATTCTCAATTTAACTATTTTGCTGGAATGTTAAATCTGCCAGCAACTTACAAATTCACTCGTATATGCTCGAAATAAAACGCTTCAAGTCAACTGGTCGCATAAAAATACCACTTTTATTAAAAGATTAAAGAACGGCGAAGCATGCGGCCATGTTATAAGGAGTTCCCAAACTTAGATCTACTTCTGTTGTAACTGCCGCTGTGCAAAAGTAAAAAAGTTTCATTAGAAATAGCTTTCGAACCATTCTTCAGTTATCATACACTGTACGTGTACAGGGTGTCCATAGAGTTCTAATTTTTTTTTTAATTGTATAGGGAAGACGACGATACGATACCGTATATTGTTTTGGCCTTCACATATTATTAAATGAAGTAAAAATACTTGAACAATTACTGTACAAATACAACAAACCTGGTTAAGATATATAACAAAATTAAAATTGTGAAGGGGTATGGGCACTTGTATATTAAAAGCCAACTAATACGCTCTTACTATACTGGTCGCAATATCTCAACGATATATACATATGCCACAATGCCAAACTTGTTATATGTTCTCGCAGGCATAGTTATCTTGCCCGAGACAAAAAGTTTACTGTAATATCAATATAATTGATCATATTTCTCAAATTATTTTCACATAGTTTTTATGAAGTTTTTATGAGTTCCACTTGACAATTTCTACCTATTTACACAGCGATGATAAAACGAGCAATACATAACAAAAGCCACATTGCCCATCAATCATATATTTCGAGTACCTTGCCGGGATTTTCTGACACGTTGAATTAGATGCCGTAAAGTGTGTATTGTGTTTCCGTTGGATCTTGGATTGATTTCGGGGATTTTTTGTCGGTGAATTATCTGCACTGAAGAAACGTTGCAACTGCGGAATTTGCACATCGCTGAGCATATTATTTCTTCACATTCAAATCGCTTAGTATTCTAAGATTTTAATTTCCAAACCATTATTTTAATCTTGAATAATTTAAATTAAAATATGGGTTTTCAGGAGTCGTGAAATTCTAAAAATCGTTTTAAGCTACAAAAAAGTAAATAAGATCGGGGAGTCATCAAGCTGTTCACTATTTATCTGTTATAATGGATAATACAATTTGCACTATTTTATGCCCATAACGGAAAGTTAGAAATCAGGAGTCATCGGCTGTCTCCAACCCTGCATTTTAGTTTTCCAATGCACCTAACACCCACTGGTAATTATAATCAACCAATCCTATAGCAGTTCTTTCTTTTTTTGATTGGAGTTACTGTTTTTTCGTCCAATTTTACAAAGTTTTTTCTTAAACTCGTTCCAAATGATTTCGGTCGCACATAAATATAAATTTGTGCAAATCACTAGATGTCGCAGGTGAGCTTCATTATGAAGCGGTAAAATGAGATTGACATGCATGCTGAACGTATCCCGATCATGACGTGTTATTCTAATGTTTATTCTTGTTAAATTTCACCTAGTTTACTCTAGTTTTGATTAGTTTTCAATTCTTTTAAAGTTGGACGACATGATCCTTGATTTTTAGAATTTTTGAAGAAGCTTCGAGCAAGTACACACGCACAGAAACGCTGAAAACTCGCAATTTCTTTCGAAAGTTTGTGCAGATGACGGCCATGAGAATTGGCCCAAAAATAAAAGTACCTTCTCCACCATCCAATCAAATATCAAACTAAGTTGATAAACAATAATTGAGCCGATGACAACCGTGGCCTGCAAATATTGTCGGCTCGCGACTTTCATCACTCGATTCAAGAAGTCAGAAGTAAGCATCCGACCAGACGAAGTTATACAGTTACAGCCAAAACTACCGAAAAAGAAATTCAACATTTGTACTAGTAAAACTAATCAAAGCGAATTCGAAATAAACAGTCAAATCTATAAGAGGAACCCCTTTCTCTCATAATTGTTGCCATGGTTGAAAATAAACTCAATTTTAACGAATTTCAATCATTTCGCTTCATTTGCACAGCATAACCCCTCGTCAAAAGTTATTGGTATTGAATATTGATAATTACAATTAAAGACACTTTTGCTTTATGTCCCAATCTATCGATAGACAACATAACGCCATGAAGAAATAGTAAACACACGTTTCCCAAAAGGGGAGAAAATCCTCCCCATTGACGAATTTTGTCTTTGCTGTTCTTGGAGGGGTAGTTTTGCTTTTTATTTGCTGCGACTAATATTTTTTGTTATTACTATAATACCGTTCCTATTTAAGCACACCTCAAAAACGACTTTAACTGTACAAAAGTTGGAGTGCGACTTTCGCCTAACATCAGCTAAATTTTCATTATAGATTCAACAAATAAAGTTGTTTGTTGGAGGAATAGAGAGAAAGCGAAAAGAGGAGTATCATAAAAGGGCTGGGAACCACTGTTCTAAACGGAAGCCGCGAAGAGTTCGTACATTCGTCGTATGTAGCACTTCATATTTTTATTCAAATCTATTCTGAAGCGACTGATCAAACACTTTCATGTTGCAATCATCGAAGCCGGAAATGTTTCCGCACTTCACCACTCAATATACATTCATAAGGATGTTTTCACAGACAGCAAAGAACATCTTTATTTTTACAGGAAAGTAATTATATACGTTCAACAACGCGCACTTTTATACCCAATTTAGATAAGAACACGCCATATTTAACTCCTGAATAATGTGGGTAGTAAAATGTTTTTTGTCAACCTTGGTTAGTTAGCCTTCCTATGATCATGAGGTATTCTATGTACTATATGTAGGTATGTTTCATGCATGGTGTCAATATACACTACCAAGCAAATACTCAAATAGTCACATCATAACACTTTCACTGCGCTATTTCTAAGGGCCGGCTGGTTATTGTAGCAAGCTCCACTTAACACACTTACAAACCCTCTCGAAAGCAACTGTTATGTCATAAAATATATAATATTTTTTTCAAGCACGTTATCACAGACCAAATATGAATCTCATATAAGCTATTGAAAAAAAATATAAAGCATTTATGGACACGACTAAACATGTAAAAACAGTTTTTATGAATTGCGAAATTTTTACTTCCGAGTGTAATAACTTACCTTCGATATACTTTAATGATAGTAAGCTGTATTTGTTTAATATGCCGCACACATGTAACATATGTGTTTAACAGTTGCCATTTAAGAGTGGTTCGCTGTACCGCGTTTGTGAGGATAAACTGAATGTGGTAAAAACATCTGCCTTTTTGAGATTTGTATTCTATCCACGAGCCTTGGCCACTGCTCTGCATATAAAGTAAAGATTAGTATCCCAGACTTATTGCACAGAAGACGGGCCAGCGTCAGCGATTTTCCAATAGTTTTATGAATGAAATAAATAAAATGAACTTGTAGCATACGTCGTATTGTAAATTAATCTCACTTAAAAGATAAAAAATATATATACCACATAGACAAATACAGGCATTCTCTGCAATGCTTTAGAGATGGGATCCTATTTTCATAAATATCGAGAATGCGATTTATTGAAACAATTTGGAAATTGCTTCAAGTAAATGAGGTCATCGGGTGGTATGATGTCAGCAAATACCAATTTCTTTTTCCAGAATATGTCTACTGACCATCACCAAAGGCTTGGACTACTAAAGGCACAAGGCCCTCAACAAAACTTTCTACCGGACAATGTTGACCATACACTCTTCCTGTACCAAAGTCTAGGGAAACCTACAAAGTTTTAAACTGAACCGACTTTGCCAGACAGTGTTGACTAGAAGAGCCAAAGTCTTGACGCCCGAAAACAGCCCGGACACGCAACAAAACTATTTACCGGACAATGTTGACTATGAACTGTTCGCGTACCAAAGTACGGGGAAACCTACTAAAGTTATGAACTGAACCGACTTATTTACCAGGCAGTGTTGACTAGATAAGCTTTCAATGCAAACCAGAATATATTGTCTTCTTTGTCACCAGGGGGTCAATGTAAAGGTCTGACTCTATCAGTAACATGTTAGCTTTTACGTTGGAGCTCGCTCAACTACGTTTGCAAAAATTCACAAAAAGGAAGAAAGGAAAGAAGTTAGGTACATATGGCTCTTAAGGTTTACTTATTTGTGTTTGCATTTTCCCAATTACGCGTTTAGGGTGGCGGAGAGTTCATTCTAAAGCCTCACGCCTCAAGGAAGTCATCACTCATAATTTCTTGTCAATTCTCCCTAGTCACTCCGCAATTGTTTTTAATACATTATGGTAGTTTTCCTATTACTATCCCCTCTTGACATGCCGAGCGGGGTATTAGGTTCATAAATAGTCCTACAAACGAAAACCGCTGCTTGAGAGCCTTCAAGTTAAGAGGTGTTCGGTCTTCAGGAAGGTTGTAGCACCCTTCAACGCGCTCAAAAAGTGGAAAATTATTGTTTGCAAGTCACCGTTGCGTATCTGAGGATAGGGTATAATGAATGTTTACCGATTTTCAAATCGTGTGTGTAGTAATGATTGGCCGACACATGGACGCCTAAAAATTAAATACTTTTTTTTATCGTTCCGTATGTGAGCAAAGATAGTACGAGAAGCATTCCATCGTGCATAACTACAAGATTGTTTACTCGTTTTGTGGTCAAACTGTATATGCGGGAATGTCATAATGTGAGATATTTGGAGTACTTGAATGTATATTGCCAATATACATTTGTCAATATTATAAAATGCGGTCGGTAATATCATATTATTACTCCACATTTAAAAGAATCTTCGTAGGTGCAGTTTCAAGAAATTTATTATCATTTTTGGCGCTCCACTAGTGTGTTTACCAATATGGAGGTAACTAATTTTGTCCGCTTACTTTGCATCAAGTTGTGTAAAGGGACTGAAACATACGGACAGAGGGTATATGTACTTGGCTAACACAGTCAGTCCTCGAACTCGTAATAGAACTAAAATAAGGAAAATCGGAATAAAATTATAACCCTAATCTGGTGCAAACACTACGGCAATACCAATTATTTTATCATAGAAATATAAAGCCCATGGCAAAATAGCATTTTATGCTAATTTTTTTAAAAAATTACTCAAATGTAATGCAGAAAAATTGCAAAAGTTTTCTATTGAACATCAAGTAAACACGCACGCATTAAACCCAATCGTTGTATAAATATGATTTAAAAAAAAAGCTTAGTCACCACTAACTAAGCCCACTGCTTTCTTTACGGCAAGTCACGACCTCGATCATAAATAGTATCACTTCATCAAGGGTTTTACCGATCAAATACCGACCTTTCGTCACACTTCAATATAAATTCTTTGTACCTCGCGCTTACAAAAATGTACAAAATATATCCGCATTTTGCAGTTATTCGAGTTGATAAACCCCTTGACTTTTATATAGCGCGTTAAATTAGGAAACTCGAGACACAGATTAAAGTTTTGATTCAAATCCCATACCCACCACTTCTTACTGGGTGAAATAAACTTGATGAATGAATGTATAACTTCAAAGATTTCGTTTCTTACAATTACATCAGCATCTTATTTATTGGTAACTGCTTGACTAGAGCCTTGTTATTACTGAGGGGTTGCAAACATCACATCAAAAACTTCACCCCACCATGTGTTATATATTTATGATCCATACATCGACATTACGCTAATTTCTCGTGTATAATTTACACCAATTTCTCATCGAATTTGCATATCTTTTAATAGTTATATCTCTGTTTATCATCAAAAGGCTGGGCATGTTATACTTCCACGCATACAAATCCCTTCAAACACGCAGGCTACCTTTTCCATAAGCCTGTGTACATAGACATTCAACTGATTTCTCGTGTAGAATTTACACCGATTTTCTATTGAAATTTCATATTCTTCAATAGTTTTATACCCTGTTTATCTTCAGTAGGTCGGGCGTTTTACACTTCCAGAAATATAAATCCCATCAAACACGCAGGCTATTCTTCCCATAGCGTGAACAAGCAATTCATCTTTCGGTTAACATAATTTTCTATCCTTTTAGAGTAGATTAGGGGTGTACAACAGGTAGCCCGCGCGCCACAACCAGGCCCACAATGCCATTTAAAGTGGCCCTTTTTCCCCATCCAGCATAAAATCCCAATCCGACTATTTATGTTTGAAAGGCGATCACATGGGTACAAATACATGTTGTTAAATTATTTGCCGTTTTGCCAGGTGCCTTTATTACTGTAAAGCTAAGCGATAGCCATATTACCTTCTCTTGCCTTTCCAGTGGGGCTATGGTTGTGACTAATGTATTTCGTTGCAGCGGGCTTTTTTATTTTGTTGTGAACATGGAAAAACTATTTTTTGTGTGCCCGGCTGGATGTCTGAAATTGGTTATATAGCCCACCGACAAAAATGTCGCACATCCCTGTTCTAGACAGTGCTTTCAACCGGGGTTCCGTGGCACCCAGCGTTACACCCGTTCAGTTCAGGTATTTTGCAAGTTCCCATTTAAATCAGTCTATATTAATGTATGTTAATAATGTCATATAATATATTCAAACATTATTAAACAACTTAAATTTTTGCCAATATTAGAGTCGCTTATAGAGAGATATTTAGACGTTATACAATTCAGACGATAAAAGGCAATTAAACTATTGCACAAGGGTTTCTCAAGCATGTTGTATGTTTTATTAAGATTCCGCTCCATTAAAACGGCTGAAAAACAGTGTTAAAGACCGAAGAATCTACACAACGTTTTTGTACTGATCCCGAGTCCTTGCATATCCCAGTAAAATTAATGATTTAACAAAATAATAAACGAGAATATCGGTCAGAGACCGAAGACTTATCGATCGAAAGTTAGGGGATCCCCCAAAACAGCGCTCTTACTCCATAGTGACACCTTGTGTCTCATCACTAATTAATTAATAACTCGCTAATTATACGACATAATTTATCCAAAATCAATAGGCTTCTGGTACGACATATCATGAATGCACATGCAAAATCTTGAGCAGATTCAATCTCGTTTTCGTGAGATATCGCGTGCATCTAACAGACAAACAGACAAATACCTATCAACATACTTACCGATTAAAATCGATAAGTAATAATTAAGTTTTAATATTTCGTTCTATAGACACAACAATAAAACTAAAAACTTTTTTAAATGCAAGCATGCGATGTAAATTATAATTAGCGACTCGCATACGTTTCATTGAATGTACAATGGTTGTTTCTGACAACTGTAATTTAACATAGGACCTATTACTTGCAATATGCACATGAATGTCACATAAAGTAAAGATAATATAAATGTAATTAGAAAGAGCATAATTGGAATAGTAAGGAACATCACTTTTGGGTCTCCGGATGCAGTGTATTACATTATGATATTAATTAATTACCATTAAAGGATAGGATATACATATTTTACCCGGGGGAGAGTAAAGCCGATACGACGGCTTAATCATATGGCGAACCACGGCCTCTCGTCTGGTTACCAGTCCTTATCGGATATGGAATTAGTTAGTCAGATATTTGTTTTCGCACGCATGGACTTGATGATGCAGGAAGCCGTAACCGACCAGCGGTTACGTGAATATATGTTTGAAATATAAATACTCTCTTTAGCCTAATGTGGGTAAATTTCTAAGGTGCGTTAATCAAAAAACTTCCCCCTCGCTCGCATCTTGGCGGACCAATATTATATTAACTCATCTTTTGTTTTGGCATCACTTGTGTTTCTGCGGAATCAACTACTTGTCCTTCTTTGATTTTTCACTGGTTCACCCATATGCGTATAACATGGCGTTTAATCATTTGAATTTTTTGATTAGCTGTCGAAATCTTGAAGTCTATCTGTCGAATCGGAAAAGTTCATACTTTAGTAGCTCATAACATTATAAGTTCATATTCCAAACATTAGTTAGCTCCGTACGCAAAGCCCCTTCAAAACGAAAATGTGAAACTAGCAATAAAAATACTCTGTAAAATCTGTGCTAACAACAAGATCGTGTTCGCGCTAATTACCTATGAGTCCGGTGAAATTTATTTCTGCTTCATAGCGCGGATGAAAGCGTTCGTATTCTATGTCGGTTCTTTTGAAGATCTCTCTCTGCGGTGAGCTCTCAAATAGACCCGTTATAATGAAAATAACTAAGCGTCATCGGAAAGCAAATAAAACCTGAAAAGGGAGAGAGAGCGTTTCGTTTTGGTCCGTTAACTCCGCTATGAAAACAGACCAAGACAGCTCGAGAATGTGCCGGGCTTCGAGTAAAAGCACTTGCCAGTTTCATTGCTGTATATCGAAGCTTATTCTAGGCCCAGTGCAGGAAAGAGTGTCAATGATATGTAAAAATATAGTACCATGGATTGTTAGCAAGCGCTTTATGCTAGCCTTTGCGTTGTGAAACCGGGATAGGTATCAAAAACGTGACGTTTAACATCAGATTTAGGGCAGAAAAGAGTGACTGTAATACCTGAACAAGCATTACTGCATTATCAGATTATAGCCGTATGTACACACTTTAGTAGTCGTTTATGGCCGTCGATCATTTTAAAAATGCGACTATGTCTGTATGTGCCAAAAACTTAGCCGCGAGAGCCTTATTGAAAGTTAAGACAAACCACAAGAAGACGACACTTACTGACTTATAGAATTTGTTCTATTATGTCACAATGCTCCTTTTTGATCGCACGATTCCCGTGTCTCTCGGGTGTTTGGTGGTTAGCTAATACGTTTGTTCAATTGACCTAGTTTTTGTTGGCTTGGAAG